CACACACACACACACACACACACACACACACACACACACACACACACACACACACACACACACACACACATACATTATACCTAATTATCCCATTTTCACATATTTAATAGAGACAAGTTGACACAGACACATTCCCATTTGCAAAGAGAAGCAGTGAAGCGCAGTCAGATGCAGTACTTCTAGCGCACACACACACACACACACACACACACACACACACACACACACACACACACACACACACTTCTGTTTCTGGGGGATAACCCTTAGAGTCATGGCAACAGACCACCGGGAGGCTGTGAATGTCCTTATATAGCCACATCCCTCAAGGAGACAAAGATTTGTGTGAGTGTGTGTGTGTGTTTGTGTGCGCGTGTGTGTGTGTGTGTTTGAGCTCATACAATGTCACTTCCAGATGCTGAGGCCTATAAAGCTGTCACAGACAGGCCGTATGTGCAACAAAGGCATTCATGCACAAACATATACTTGAGAGGAAGTTTCTGGTCAAACAGGAAGTTAGATCATGACCCTGGGAGATAGACGCACACAAGATCCTAAAATAGAAACACACAGAGAACTGGAAGAAAAGAGGGAAGGAAGCCCCCCCCCAGTCTCACACGCACACCCACGCACACCCACACACAGTCTTACCTTGACCCCCTCTATCCTAAATCCCAGGGTTGCTGTTGAGCTAATAGTCTCTCTCCACTGCATGTATCTGGGTTTGGTCACTGCCTTCTTGTCATTTTCCTCAATTGTAGGTGCAGCAGGATCAACTTCAATCATTTTCTGATACATGTCAGGTCTTGGAGAGGGTTTCTTGCGAGCCTTGGTCAGCTCTTCCTCAAGGTAGGTCCTGAAGCACAAAAAAAAACCACCGCACAGGTGATGAGTGGTGAAAGGAAGAGGAGGAGATAGGTAGGCGAGAGATGAGAGGTAGGCGGCAAAAAAGAGAGGAGGAGGATGATCTGTTTCCAAATAACATGACACAGCTGTTTGGAAGGAGTTTTCCTCACAGATATTTGCAGCAAAATTTACAGCTGATATCTTATTTTTCATCAGCCTTATCTGTCATTTTACTTTCCAAGGGTTATAAACACTTGACATGTGCAAGAATCATTGACATGTTAGCCCTTTTTGTGAAGAAACGGGAGCTCTTTAATTGAAATGATCTCATTTATATAAAAACAACCATGGTTAGCCAAATCTATTGAAAAATAGAAAAGGAAGAGAAATGGTCAAATTAAACCAACTGATCAGACTTTGTGTACAAAAAGGGAGCATTACAGATATTTCTGATGGTGTTACAACCTAATACAGTTGTTATTTTGTAAGTATAAAGGTTATAATAACTGCTACAACATTAACCATTTATAACTGTATCTCTAAACTGATACAGTTTAGATATATATGGATGGATATATATGTAAGGTTCAAATAACCCTCACAAACAGGCCACAGCGTTAAAGCCATCACAGTTACTTTTGTACGTGAAATATAAATCGCTTTATCCTCTCAGTCACCGTGTTGTGTAAGGATGACTGTGTCACCATGCATTAATGTGTTCTCTCACCTTACTCCCATCTTACAGTCCATCACACATGGGTAGTCAAACTCAGCCAGCAGATCTTCCATCTGGTTGTATTTCTGGCCGTCTTTCTCTACGTCTCCATGGTAACCAGGGACGTAGGGGCGAAGCACGTCCTTCATCAGGAGGGACAAGCAGCGCTGCTCACATTCACAGTGTTTCTAAAAGATAGCATTAAGGAATCAGCGTTTTATGCTCTGCGCTGCAGATCATTCAGTATGAAGATTTTTAAAGTCAGAGTGGATTTTAAACAGATTTTTGCGCAGTGACACAGAGCTGCTTAAGGGGCTGCTAAACGGTTGCTTACTTTTAATATCCGTCCATTTGCTCCCGCCTTGAAACTCCCTGTGAAAAGACAGAAATTCATTGTAAATGTGCAGAAAGAGTCCTGAGTAACTTGCTGTAGGTCATCGTGAGCAAGTGAGAGTAGAAGCTGTGACTCTTTTTACAAGTGAATGGGCAAGACAGCAGTTCAAAAAAGATGTTTACAGATGTTTCCAGTAGAGACAGAGTGCAATTAAGTCCCACTCACACTGGAGGAGAAAACAATTATTGGCTTTGTGAAGTTGCCTCTTCTGTCAAATAGCAAAGAAAAAAGAAAAAAAAGGAACAATCCCTAAAAGCTGCAGTGTACAGGGATGCAAGAGCAATAGGAAACCCAGACAACCCAGACCAAATTTTTATAAATTACCAAATCAAAATCTTTAACCTTTAATGAGAAGAAAACTGAGATGGGAAAGCCTGAGAATGAGAATGCTGCTTCCTACTGTTGTGATAATGATTTTGCCAAATGTCAGTTTTAGGCTGGGATATTTTTACAACTTAATCAGCACAAATATAACCAGCTACATGTATTTTGTTACCATTTTAGCCTTCAGATGTTTACTGCGTGCCCACGTTTTCCCCTCCACTAGCCTAGTTTTAGGAATGACACGTTGTGCACGATCTCTATTCCCAAGTATTCCCACAGACTCGTCCCCTGAGGGCCCTGACCACAAAGAGCCGGCTCCAACAAAGACAGACCTGCCTGTCTACATATTTTCTAAGAAAAACTGCGTCTGAGCCCACCACCGAGACAAAAAAACCCCTGGCCAGCTGACCACCAACAAGTACGTATGACAGCGTGTGAAAGAGAATCCCCAAAATTAAAACTATATGAAGCCAAATTTTATAAAAAAAAATCAAATAGTATGCCTGATGAAAGTTGTATTCTAGAAGTGCTGATTTCATACGCTTAAATGGACAAGCCCCCAATGAGTTTGCTGTTTTAGTTCTGTATTTATTCAGAGAAACCTGTGTGTGTGTGTGTGTGTGTGTGTGTGTCCTACCTGCATGCCCTGCCAGTTGGATCCATGGATATTTCTTCTTGAAGGACATGACAAATGGCGACCAGTGGACCATGTTTTTAATCTTCTTCCAAGACTTGTGCTGCGAACACAAACATGTACATTGTTGATTATTACTTACTTGGATGTGTTGCTTTCACATTCAGGAGGAATTCAGCCATAAGCTCTGCCACAAATGACTCGTGTACCATAAAGCTGCCTGCCTAAGTTCTTTATTTTAGTTAAGCTATTCATGATCACTAGCCCAAGGCTCTCCGACCTCAACCCGTTTAAACCGAACTCCACTGTTTGTAAAATGAGTGAGTGCAATATTAATATTTGCTCTTCTGCTTATGCAACTTTTGTAAAACATCAACTTCAGTCTACTTCAGTCTCAGAGGGACTGTACTGCAAGTTCTCCTCTAAACCTTTCGGGTGATCCAGTGTTTAATGACCGTGAGAAAAACAAGACTTTAAATCACATATGTGCACACATACTACACGCACGCACACACACACACACAGGCGGGTATCCCTGACCCTGGGGGAGCTGCATGGTTCTCCCACACTCGCTGTCATTCTTTTTTACTGCAGTGTTTTAGAACATTTTATCTAAACTCTGGAGGATTGGGCTGGGGTTTCCCCTAGTAACACACACACACACACACACACACACACACACACACACACACACACACACACACACACAC